AAAAAAAACCTCAAAATGCAAATTTGAAGTTGACGCAAGGATTTTTGTGATTTATGATGTCAGTTTTTTCTGCATTTAATTTCTTTAGGCTGAGATTTTTGTTAAAGTTCTTCAGAGTGAAGAGTATGAAGAAATGGAAGATAAAACTGTGATGGCCATGGGGATCCTGCATACAATTGACACAATCCTAACTGTGGTGCAGGATCACAAGGAGGTGAATCTTTTCAACTCTTTGAAAACTCAATTCAAGCGTTTGTGCAAAGAGATGTGATACAGAAATCCTTTCTGTAAACGAAGGAAACCTTGTGTGCCAGGAGATGGCACCGTAGACTTAACAAATGTATGAGATACTTGCATGCAATTTGTACCTAGTAATGATGTAAAACATTTCAAATATGGAGGGCTTTTTGCTTGACTCTTTACTTTAGAAAAACTCTTTGCTTTAGAATAGTTGCTTATTTAAGAAAAAAATGTCTTTTTTCTTTACTTAAGTGGCTTCTTTCTTTTCTTCAGATAACTCAACAACTGGAGAGCATTTGCCTGCAAATCATTGGTCTTGTCTTACAGAAGCATGTAATAGGTACATTGAAAAGCCAATCGGACAATATTTGCTTTCTTATTTAACGTGGCAGAGAGTTAAGTTATTCTCTACCCAGCTGTAACAATACAGCTCATTGTCCATTTCAGTAGTGGGTTCTGGATCCCATCGCAACCGGTACGCTGCGATGGGGCCGGACATCCACCTCGGGCATGCATGCTGTGCACACATGTGCACGCCACTGCCCTGCGACACCTCAGCTGCTCAGAGAGGTCGCACAGGTGCCATACTCTGTGTGCACAGGGGCAATTGGCACGTTTCCCTCAAATAGAGGTAAGGAATGCAGGTGGGCAGATGGGCCCACCGGAAGACTGTTCCGGTATGGTGGCTGCTGCTCCCAGCAGCCATGGGTATGCCCATACCAGGCCGTACCGCCCAGAACCCATCACTGGTCCATTTTCCCTCCATCTAGACTTAAGCCAAAGTTACTGTGAAGTTATATCATTTATTCATCCTTAGAATGCAACATAGTCTATAGCCAGTTCATTTCTGGCTGGAGAAAGAGTAGGGACAATAGAATCAAAGATAAGATTTGAAACTTGACAAATGGGGACGTCAGTTCAAATTACATTGGACTACAATCTTCTTCAGAACAGAACAACAGAGTTGGAAGGCATCTTGGAGGTCTTCTAGTCCAACCCCTTGCTTGAGCAGGAGACCCTATATCATTTCAAACAAATAGCTGTCCAGACTCTTCTTAAAAACATCCAATGATGTGGAGCACCCACAACTTCTGAAGGCAAATCATTCCACTGATTAATTGTTCTAAGTCAGGACATTTCTCCTTAATTCTAGGTTGCTTATCTCCTTGATTTGTTTCCATCCATTGTTTCTTGTCTTGCCTTCTGGTGTTTTGGAAAATAGGTTGACCCCTTCTTTGTGGCAGCCACTCAAATATTGGAACACTGGTCATTGATTTTAGATAAGACGTTATCTTATCTGTGGAAGAATATCATTAGATGTAATTTCTGTAGGGGAAAAAATGAGAATAATTGTTGAAGTAGCAGCTTTAGAGGGAAGCGAAATCACCCTTTGTCAATGGCCTATTTCTAAAGTTGACTTCTTATATTTAAAATCAGGATGGCATTTGGGTATTTCTACAATAGGGAGGAAATATTGCTTGGTTTTTCCCATCTTTTCCCTGTTATATCACTGAAGGTAGAATCCCATAATAAGTGTCCATGAATAGCAGAGGTGTCCATTCAGGGTCACTTCTCCCATCATGTTTGCAGGTTCTCCTGATCTGTCCCAGCAGAGATTCAGTCCTCCAGAGTGGATTTTAGGATTTAAGTGCTGCAGTTGGATGGAAAATTAGTTTAAGGTTAAATAAGCTTACCTCAGAACTAGCAGTCTCTCAGAAGTTTTCCCTATTGCATTCTATGTCGTTCCTGTCTTCTTTCTGAACATCTTGAGATATATGCTTTAATTAGAAGTAAACATACATATAATATTAGGCATATTCATAAATGGAAATTAAACCTGTAGGCATTATTTATTCCATGTTCAAGGAAATTTAGAGGCATATTGTGTAGTCATAAGAAATTTTGTTTAGTCCCACTAAAGTATCTTTATTGGTATCTAGCAAATGCAATATGATTAATTCCAGGCTTAAGACTGTACAATGCCAATAAATGCGGTGCTAGCCTCCAAGTTGGGAGGCTAGCACCACATCTTAGACCTGGGAAATGTGTTGTCAAAGTACGTTATGACGATCTTCTCTAATTCACTTAAAATAGCTTTGAATAGGCTGGGTGGCATTTGTGGGCATGTTTTCTATATCTCTTATGTCTGCTTGCTTGCTTCCCCCTTTCCCTTTCAGAGTTCTACGAAGAAATTCTCTCTCTGGCGTACAGCTTGACATGCCATCTTATTTCACCCCAAATGTGGCACCTCCTGGGTGTCTTATACGAGGTGTTTCAACAGGATTGCTTTGAGTACTTTGCAGGTAAATGAGCTTTGCCGTTTCCTCGAAAAGCGCACCGATCAATAGCAGGAATAAATCGAATGTAGAAGAATGCTGGCTAGCTGTGGTTTGGGAAGTTTTGATGGAATGTTTCAATTGTCACTTTGTTTTAGTGGAAAGAACATTGTTTTGTTCCCCCCAGTGCTATAAATTCAGGATTAGATTTGCTTAAATATCCAATGTAGAGTTGTGTGCCTTTAAAATGCCGAAGTTGAAGAAATTGGTGTATTGGGGTCAGAATTTTGCTGGTTGTGAGGAAGATCAGGAATGTATTCAAGTTTTGCCCACTGAGTTATTCAGAACGTATTCAATGAATCATCTGACTTTTAAGAATTATCCCATTTTGCTTTTTTTGTCATTTACAAGACTAGACACCTTAGATAACAAACAGCAAGGAAGAAAGCCAAGATCCTTAAAGATAAATGTTCCCCTTACACATATATGTTAGTCGTTCCCGACGCTAGGGGGCAGGAATGACTCCGTTTCAAAGCCGAAGAGCCAGTGCTGTCCGAAGATGTCTCCATGACCATGTGGCCGACATGACTAAGGGGCACGGAATGCTGTTACCTTCCCACCAAAGGTGGTTCCTATTTTCCTACTTGCATTTTTTATGTGCTTTCGGACTGCTAGCTGGGACAAGTAACTGGAGCTCACTCCATTATGTGGTGCTAGGGATTCGAACCGCCAAAGCGCCAACCTTTCTCATTGACAAGCTCAGTGCCTTAGCCACTGAGACACCGCGTCCATGCTAAATTTTGCGTGGCACGACAAAATCGCTCGTTTTAAAGCGCGGCAACAGAAGGGCGCTTTAAAATGGCGCCGCGGCAGAAACCCGACTTCAATTAAGGTAAGAGTTAGGATTAGGTTTAGGGGTTAGGTTTAGGGGTTAGGTTTAGGGTTAGGTTTAGGGTNTTAGCGCTTCGAACGGCGCGAATTAGTCTTCCCGCTTATGTCTCCGTGGATAAGGGCTTCGCGGATTTGTGGTGGAACCCATGGAAACAGATTACCTGAGAAACCCTCTCATTCTTATTTCATTAACTTGTTCTACCCAACTGGTCAAGCAGGGAGGGAATGTTGTGGGCCCTGTTGGTTAAAGAAGCTTGACTGGCAAGGCCTAGGAAAAGAGAGATTCCTCTGCTGTTGCTTCTATCCTTTGGGATATCTTGCCTTCAGAACTGATCGATAGCCCCATTTTTCTGGCCCTCAAGGAACTAAGACCTGGTTTGGCCAACCAGCATGGGATTTGAAGGGTGCCACAGAACATTGGGATAGGTTAGTGGCTTGGGGGCTCGTGGTCTACTTTTTTAACTCTTGCAATTTTAACCTTTTAATTCTGTTTTAAACATTGTTACGATTTTTTTTAATGATTTTTATTTGTAAATCTTCCAGATAAAATGGACAGAAATTTGATAAGAAAACAATTCAGGGACTGGAAAAGCACATGTTCTGTTATTTCCGCCTGTCCAAAATTATAAGGACATTGTCTCTCTAAGTAGGGAATACCCAGAATCAGCCTTCAAGGTAAGCCGAACGGAGGGCATGATGTTATGTCAGAACAAAGTCCCTCTGATGTTTTGGGAATTTGAGTTTAATTAACTATACCATAGTGTTGCCATAATATCTGCTGGATTCACTGGCATTAAACATTGGGAACCTGGCTAGATCCAAGTGATCATCTGTGTCTGCTACACACTATTTAATGAATGTTTTGGCCTGATCATATTTCATGCTGAGTCAGAAGACCTGCAAGGAGGTCCAAGGAAATAAGATTGCTTTTTCCATGTAGACAGTGAACCTTCCCTCATAATTAATGAAGCAAGTTCAAGGGGAACAAAAAGGATAGTCTGAGCCTTGAGTAGGTTACCAATAATTTACCCATACCTTGAGTAAGTTACCCATACATTGAATAGGTACTTTAGCCTTCACTTTCAAGAACTCTGTCTCTGGTTGTAGGGCACCATTAGGGGCACAATTTGTGACACGAGAGTTGTTCTTAGAAATTGGGATTGTACACATTCTAATTGTGTAAAATTGGAAAAGAGGCTCAGATGGGCACCATAAAGAAGATCATGTATCANAATAAATTGAAACCCACCACTGTTCCAAAGGATAGTTAAGGGCCCAGTTTCACTATTGGTCCGTGGTCCCCAACCTTTCTGGTTCCACAGACCAGTGGTGGTGGTGTCAAGGGGTGTGGGTTCATGCATGCAACATAGATCCCACACATGAGCAAATGCAGCTTTGCATGCTCTCCCACCACTGGCACAGCCCGATTCCCAACAAGCCAAGGGCCAGTACCGGAAATTGGGGACCCCTGTTGAAGAAAAGGTGCTTTGGCTATATTAATCAGACTTTTAGCATTCAAGCAAATAAACAACAGTGGAGCAGGAAATGCTAAAATTTATGTAGCGCTCTTAAGTTTTAAAAGTGCTTCAGGTGTTTCATCTCAATGTTTCTCACCAAAGCTATAATGTAGACTGATTTTATTATTATTACAGTTTGTTGACCAGTCAGTCACATGTTTAGATTAGATTTGGTGTTTTTATTCACCTATCAAATCCAGTCCAAGAACCTGAGATAGACAGATGGGTTTTGGCGGTTTTAAAGGTATCGTCACAGGACATAAGCTGATCCAGGTAAAGCTGCCTTTTGCAATTGACTGAACATGAGTTTGTCAATGGTAATGATGTTCAGGTGGTACTCCAGATGTTTTGAGATTGCACCCAAGTCACCTATTACTATTGGTTCTACCTTGGCTTCTTTTTTATCTCAATGATTGTATTTGCGTGTTTTTGTATTTTATGATTTTTCTTCGATTCTTTCTCTTTCTGCTGTCTCCAGGTTCTGCGACCTCCACTTATCCAGACATCCAGCTGACAATTTTCCCATCCACCTTTGTAAGGAGCTTGCTTTTCCCAACAAAGAAATTCTAGAGTTTGCTCAGCTCGGAGGGGGAGGGAATGCTTTGAGATTCATCCTCATTCCAAGGTAGCACCTCCTCCCCCCCCATGGAATGATGGTAGTAATTATACTATTAAATTCCACGTTACAAGAGGGGGATTAAAACACGATACGTAGCCTGAATAAACGTGTTCTGCATGACCGTCGAATTTGTTTCTCATCTGCTATTATTTTTTATGTGCCATTTTTCCTTATATTCCATTCTTCTAAATAACAATGTCATGATTTTTATTCTCAATCAGTTTTGGAAGCATTGGATGCCAAGACTTTTGTTATTCTGCAAAATAATGCACTTTAAAATGTTTCTGAAAAATGCCATTCTGGAAGAAAGCTGCTACCCTATTTATTTGCATTCATCAGTGTGACTGCTATTCCCCCAACCTATGGAAGTTTTTTCAGTTGCAACAGACTGGTTTTAAAGTAGACTGAGAGTTAATCATTATACGTTGAAAAAGCCCCTACATGATTAAATCAGCCGGTGTCAGAACGAACAGAAGACATCAAAGGGCTTTTCCCTATTGGCTTCATCTTCTTCATTCAGGTGGGGGATAAACAGCCATCTGTCAGGAATAATTTAATGCATCCATCTTGCACCAAATGTCGTTTCTAACTCTGTGCTTCTAGGTTTCTTTTAACCTTGAAAAATGTCAGATTTTTCTCTCATTCGGTTGCCTAGAGGTATTCAAAATTGTACTACTTTCCTTTTTTAATTGAACAGAAATCTTTTATTTTTACACTTCCTTTAGCCTGAGCGCTACAATTACTCTTAAAAGGTTTTTGTTGATCATCAAATCAAATCTGTGTTATTGTTATAGACTCTCATAAGGAGTGTGGAGTAGAGTCAATGAAAAAAAATATAGAAGATACATCAGATATGGATCAGACAAGGTAGAAGATATAAAGTTTATATAGAAAACAAGAATCTAAAAGAATCTAAGAGGAGGAGTAGGAGCCATAGAGATTAGAGCATTAGGAGCAAAAGAACAATGTACAGGAGCACAGAAGACTATATCAAATTACCGAGAGGTTTAGTGTGGCAAACTGGATGCTCATTAAGTCTAGTTTATGGCATAGGTCATCATCTGATGAATGTTAAGCACTGTTGTGCTGAACCTGGTAACAATGTATGTTGTTACAGGGCTGGAATCTGAAAGCCGCAGGGAGGTGGATAATTATCCTACGTGTCTGGGTATTCGTGCAATAACGGCCAGATGAAGTAAGAATGTCCTTGTAATATTAAATTAAGATAACTTATTAATACTGCAAATTAATATGTAATATTGAATACTATAATTGAAGGTTATTCGGAAGCTGCAGCTGGGGCAGAATGCAATGATAGAAGCAATTTTGGGTGCTCCGAAGAGTTGTACATGTAACACACCTCTGTTAGCCACCCACTGGCTGCATTGGGTGCCAGATTACTTTCGGGTCCAAATGAAGGATATTGGTTACTACCTTCGAAGCCCTTCATGGAAACCGTGGCACGACAAAACCGCGCTCGTCAAAATAGCGGTGATAAAATTGTGTTGCTAAAGCCGCGACGTCATCCCCACGCGTCATCACCGCCGCGACAACAGCGCAGCAACAGAAGGGTGCTTTAAAACGGCGCCGTGGCAGAAAGCCGATTTCAATTAAGGTAAGGGTTAGGATTAGGTTTAGGGGTTAGGTTTAGGGGTTAGGTTTAGGGGTTAGGTTTAGGGGTTAGGTTTAGGGGTTAGGTTTAGG